ATTCAGGATGAATAAAATCGTGTGAAACCTGCTGAGTAGTTGTGAGATCAAAAGCCATAATATAATGATTATCATAATTAGCGAGACTGATTCCATGACTAGTGTTCAAAACAAAATCAAGAGCCTCAAGCTTATTGTAATAAATTCTTTTATTGTCTGATGTTGAGATGGGAGCTCCGGCAATGGGTAGACCGTTTCTATACACAATGATCTCAGTCAACCCAAACTTCTGGTAATGAAAAGGGTTTGTCCTATTAGTACCCAAATATGCTTCGTTTATGATCATTGCTACTATCATTCTTCGAACAGGTTCTTTTGCAAAAACATCCTCTTGTCGCCAGCTTTGTACTCCTGCAGTTGCGAGAAACGTATATGGTACTACTTCGATGTAATTGTAAATTGCCGGGTTCTTCAACAAAAACTTTTCTATTGATGAGAGAACATAGTCAGTCACAGTCATCTTTCTGACATAGAGATTAGCTTTGATTATTTGAACCTTGTAGTGTTTAGCTGCATCTTCAGATATGACAACAAAATCATTAGGAGAACGTCTAAGAGACAATCTAATTGTCACACCGCTAAGTAGATGCTTTTCACACGACAAAAAGTTGCAAGCAATTTTACCAAACAGCTTCAGCTCGTTCGAGGCCGCAACGATACCTTTACGCTCCGTAACATCATCAGCTCTCCTTCCAGCACCGTCAATAGCTGATGGGTTTTCTTGATAATAATAACCTTGGCAAGCCAACCATGTTTCCTTGACATCATTACCGTATGAAAACTTGGTCTCGATAAAGCTTTTATGCGCAAAGTTAGCGTTGCTAGTTGATATTTTCTCACCACTCAGTGACAGTGTACACTCAGAAAATAATGAAGATTAAAAGATTGTTAACAAAGTACGGCGTATCTCTGTTTGCCGCCTCTGTAGCTTGCGTTCGAAGCACGGTTCCATTGCTTCGAACAATTGGTGCTTTTATTTCCAAACGAGTACGTTGAAGATCGATGAAATTATTTCTGTCACCGAGTACTTCAAACTCGAGCATGGGACCATCAGGAGAGTAGGAAGGTCCAATTTTTTGGATGAATGCATTTTCAAAAGTGACAAGTAAAGGCGTTTTTTCAAATAAATCCAAGGAGCTGTGAGTTGCTTGACTCGGGATTAAATTACAAACCATTTTTAACCCTTGTAAAGAAATCGGAGCGACTTCTCTGTGCAGTTCGTTTTCTGGGAATGACGCGTCTCGTTTTTCGTTTCACCACCGTCGTTCTTTTTGGATGACTTTTCCGAGATCTACTTCCTCCTCCTACTTGCTTTTTGATTGTTTTTCTAACGGTGCTGTTGAGTGCCTGCTTAGGACTTTTTCTTTTTGTTGCAATTTCTGTCAGTTCTGGAGCTGACTGAAGAAGTAGTTTTTTTCCGATTTTTTAGCCGCGGGTATCACAAATTTTCGAGTCAGTGGAAGTGCCACTCTTCCTATTCCCAAGGCTAATGCACCGAAGCCACTGCCTCATTGTCTATAATGCCCCTAGGAATGTGGTAGCTTTGCTTGGTTGTGGTAATATGAATCAATTTTGATCAATTACTAAACTTTTGAAATTTCAAAGTCAGAACAACTTTTCCCCCTCCAGCGAAAGGAACAAGTCCTCCAGCTTCTGTGCGCAAGTTCACAGAAATATTGGAAATATTGTTGACCAAAAATTTTTTAAAATCCAAATTACTAAACACTTTACGATGGTTCGGTTCAATTGTACATGCGTAACCCTTTTTCACTCGATTACAATTAGTCGTAAAAGGGGTGCTTTCAACAGCACCATTTCCAACCCTATAACTCGATATCGCACAATTATACAATTCCGTATTAGTTTTTCATGCGAAATTTTTCTTTTTTGTTCAAATTCTATAAACGGTTGTTAGATCAACAAAGATTTAACGTCATTTCTTTGTAAACAAAAAACGTCGGAGTGATATTTTTATTTTACCTTATTGGGTGCTCATAGTTTTAAACGCTCCCATTCGAAAGTTGTTTTACCAGAATGTTTATGTAAATAAGTACATATTATTCTCGAAGCAAGAAGAAAACGCAAAACGGTCAGAAAATTTCGCTTAAAAATTTTCAGTTTAAAATTTGCTTTTTTTATAATATCCAAAATGATGCATTTTATATCTACTGTCCAACCGTTTGAATCAGCGTCTTTGGATAGATTAGAATGGAACCTTATGAAAAAAACTATTATGGAACAAAAACGACTACTTGTGATATTCTATCACTAAACATTTCGTTTGGTAGTGCTTCAACAGATAGAAAACGCATAGTATATTTCTTTAATTTCAATTTCAGTGAATTAAACCATTTCTTTTTGAGCTTTGTTACCAGACATCAAACTAAAACTTCTTCCTGCTTTTGGAAAAATTACACCATTGGCCCCTAAGTACCAGCTGGGGCCTTAAATGTTGTTGCAAAAGAAATAACATACCCATTAACCTAATTAGTTAATGAATACCTTGCTCTCAACACTTTTTTGGATAGGTTTGAATCGGCTGACATGAAACATTTGCCTGAAATAGTTTGCCAACATTTTAGCCAACCTTGCTCTCAATTCCTTTCCGGATAGACCTAACTTGGCTATCATAACAACCTTAATCGGGGATATCGACTATGCAACAAACCGATATATCTTACTCCTGCACAGGCAAAAAATTTTCAGATTATTTTTGAACAGTTGGTGCAGTTGATGAGTAAAAAATCATTTTGGATTAAAAATTAGTTTATTACCACAGATGCTCTAATGTTAGTATCAATAACATTCAGAACACAAGTTGATAAAAAGACGCTGGTTGCGGTTCTTTTTCGTGATTTATCTATAACTTTCGATTCAATTGATCTCTTGTTTGTTCGAAAAAAAAATGAAATACTTACGCTTTGATTCAACTGCCATTAGACTTCTCAAGATTCATCTGACAAACAGCCATCATAAGCTTGTCTGAAAGGGAACAGAATCAGATTGGCTCACAGAGGTAACATCAGTTCCTCAAGGTACAGTACCAGGGCCTCTTTTTAAAATTTATATGTGCATGATAGTTAAGAATTGGTTAATTGTAATACAAAATGCAGATGAGACAATACTGCTGAGTAACTGTAGAAAAACTAATTAGCCAATGCAAAGAGGGTTTGGAAAAGAACATTGCCAATTTGTTGAACTAAATTGAAGAACACTCTTTGGCAATCAATCTGAATAAAATTGATACATCAATTTCAGTATTATTCCGGAAAAAAAAACAAGAAACAATTCAAGTTGGTGATCAAACTATAAACTATGTTATTAAGGTAAAATTTTTATACAAAAAATTTCCGCCTCAGCATTGATTAGGAATTTATTATGAAAATAAATTGCTAGGCGCAGTCAATGTTTTCATTTGATTTTTGATTTCATGTTTTTTTCATGTCATCATTTGATTTTTGACTTTATAACTTGACCGTTAAAGAGTTCTTTGCCTAAGTCTGATTCAGTTATATAAAAAAACTAGAAAGAAATCATTTGTTAAGGTTCACTGAAACGCTTAGCTTGCATGTTATATTCTTGGAGGCTGAAAAATCAGGCTACACTTAGAGCTTAGCTTTGTGTTTCAGTAAATTTAAGTTTAAGAAAACGCCAAAAACGTTGAAGTTTTTCATTTTTTTTTATTACAAAATTTATGAAAAAATCTCTCAACAGCAATACTAAAAAACAATTTTGACTGTTTACATGAGAAGCAAAAAAACTACCGAAAGCAGTGTTGAACTTGACTGCAATCAGTTTTCAGTTCTCTGCGTTATTCTGAATAAATTCTGTCATAATGTCAAAAAATCTAGATGAATATAGACATCTTCATATAAATAAATATTCAAAGTCCTTTTCTCAAAATTTCTAGAGTTTCGCATCAGTTTCACTATCATAGCTACGCCAGATTCATTCCAGAAGGCCCAATTAATCTAAATAATACGATTGTTGGAAACTTCAAAAAAGTTGAAAATGTGATTTTTCAGACAAAAAAACTAAGAGTAATACGAAGATTGATTTGAGTTTTTTTGATAGGTAAAATTCAAAAAGTCTGATGAAAAGTATGAAACCCTATTGAAAGATAAAAGTTTAACAAAAAAATTGGATGTTTTGAATTTGACGCTTTCATTCGGTTTTTATTTTCGATCCTCTGCAACAAACTTTAATCACAAGCAGCTCAATGTAAAGCTGGACGGCTTCGCTTCGATCTTTTTTCAAAGTGTTTTTTTGCAGTTTTTGATCTAGTTTATAGAAGTACTTCAAAATAAATCTTTAGAAAAAATTATCCCAGATTTTTGGTTGTGCCATCTACATTTGACTTCCGGAAAAAATTAAACAACTTTTTTTACACTTATTTCTTATACATGGGTGAAGCTTTCTTTCATAACATGAACCAGGCAAAGTCATGAACCTAAAGGGCAAAGTCATGAACCTAAAGATACCGATTAGTAAGCAAAAATCTGACGGGCAAAGTCATGAACCTAAAGATACCGGTTAGTCAGCAAAAATCTGGGGAAAATTTTTACTTGGTTGAACAAAATTATTTTTTATCAAAGAAGTTAATTTTGTTAAACGAAATTAAGCAATTGAACATAAAATTGGTCGTTTTGTAATTGTTTTTTTCCGCACCTCTGTTCACGAATATGCTTAGCAGCCTCTGAGCACTAAATTTTTCCTTTTAGTGCTCACTATACTTTTTGCCCTTGACTAAATTAAGAACAAAAAAAGTGTTTTTGTGATAATCGCAAAGTGGCTTATTGAGAAAGAGGCAAATCATTGATGATACATTCAATACTTAAACAATATTCGTTCGAGTCGCTATTTGTCAGTGTAAGGCCTTCTCGTCCGGGTAAAAATTAAACAGGTGGTCCAAAAAACCAATATATTTTTTTCGTCAATTCTAATAAAAAATTAATCATTTCCTTAATTCAAAAAAAACATCTGGACTATATTTTAGAATCTGACCACAGGAAAAACGCTATTATTCCATTTGATGGTGGCACGTGAACTTTTTTGTGAAATTTTCTGATCATCTACGTTATTTTCTGGCATAAATTACAAGCGCGTTTGTCTCACGTCCCGTTCCTCAAACCAGAGAAAGCTGGTCATAGACATTTTTTCTGATCAAACCTCAATTACAGTCCAGTTCATTCCTTGTATTGATAAATTTGCTAAAAGTATTTAATATAACAGATCAAAGATTACAACTAAGAATCTCGTCCAATAAATACATATTTGGCTCTATAAATTGACATTACTGATATCAAGATATTGAGCTTATTGTCCAAAATTTTGTTAGAATAAGCTGACTAAAGTTCAGCTTGAGAAATTTAAAAAACAGATTACTAAATCACCACTTTATAACATGGCCTGTGGGATGCATTGGGAAGCGAGACGACGGCAACAGAAACTAAACAGAAATAAAGAAGCCGATGAAAAACAGAACCATTTTCAGTTGATGAGTACTGATGTGGAAGAGCGTGAACAAAGCGGTGTTCACGGTATGCAGTGCACAGCTACTCGTGAAGCTATTTCTGTCCACGGAAATAGTGATAAAAATGGCGTGAAGTTAGATCAGGTTGGTTCGGAGACTTAATTGTTTTCAGAGCTTAACTGACTCCGGTATGCTTAAAAATCTCTGAACACTTTTCATTTTTTGCACGCATCTCTTGCAATAGCGACCAGGTCTCTAAATTCCATCTTTGATATTTCGGCATGTGCGTTCTTCTGTAAAAAAAAAGATTTTTCCCTTCTGTACCCAACGCTAGAGATGACCGTGAATATAAGCGGTTCTGGATCTCAAAGTAGTAGTTATTATGTCCCTCCCTTACGTTCCCCATTTTCCTGTACTGGTTTTTCCAATGTCTCTTATCTCCCTGGCTGCTACCGCAACTGCATCCTGCCCGTCTCTAAGAGATTGTGATCTAGATGAAAACTTATTCAATACCTTTTTCGGGTCTTCTAATAACAGTTCCGGATTCACATTCTTTTTCACTAACACCATTGTTGTTTTCCAAATGTTTGAGCAACTTTTCAATGGCTATGGGTCTGAATTTGGTGTACACCAAAACACTGGTTTTCTCGAGTAGTTTTGCTTGTTGTGCATTAAAAAGCCTGCTGGTAGCGCCATTTCATAATTTAAGGAACTCAGCTGATGTTTGTAAATTTTTGTTTGTGTTCAAACTTCAAACTGTAAGTTTAACTTTATGTGAAACATTTTAATAACAGATTTTAGTTAGTAATTCAAAGCTGTTGCATAAGCCCACTGAGCGTTTCAGTTGTGTTAAAAGCAAGTAGGTCTTAATGATTTTCGTACAAAGATATAAATATGTAACTGCTAATGATGTATACATAGGTATGCTGGTTCAAAGTTACGGCTTAAGCAGTACCACAGGGGTACCCTACGCCAATTAAAAGCATGTTTTTTTAGCATAACGTGCTGAAAAAATTCAAATAGCGGTTTTAGTTTTTCTTCCAAAACCCACATGCGGAGCTGACTTTTCCCCAGAAGGTTTGTTTTGGTGCTTTCGAGGAACTCATAGTATAAATTTCGCTTTCGTTGACTTTAGAAAAAACAACAAAATAATTCATCAGTCGGCTTTCCCGCCGCTTTATAAAAGTTTTGTTTTTAAAATGATGCCTAGCAAATGTAGGGAGTTTTAACTATTCGTACAAACTACCGAATTTTAATCAAACATTACGCCTGATACTCGGATAACCAACAAATTATCAAAACACTAGATTCGCTCGAGGGGGGGGGCTACTACTGCATTTAATGCATTCCTTTCGCGAGCTCTCTGAAGAAAACTCAATACTTTATGCTATGCAGGATGAGCAGGAGTTCAGTTTCTATAATGTCAGGCCAAACACAGCCGCCACTTACCACCAGCAGAAACAGATTACGATGGAGTCTTCAGTGGATGAAAATGGTGGATTGGACAACAGGCAATGCGAAGCGAAACAAACAGGAGAAAGCACAGAAGCAGCGTAAGAACATCGTATCAAAAATCTGTAGTTTTTTTCCTGACACAGCACTGAAACCTAAAAATATCCTGAGAAAAAAACGACTGATTTTGAAGAGCGGTAAAACAACTGATATCCAACAACGTTTGAGAAGGGCGGCAAACACATGTCAATATTGATAGAACACCCCTTAAGGATGAAAAAAAAATTCATTGGAAAATTGGATCGATGTTTTTTTTAAAAGCTGGGTTGATATCCCGAGCATTAAATCAAATTAGAAATTTACTTTTGAGCACGTTAGATTTTTTTGAAGCTAGACAAAATGCCATCATCAGTCAGCTGATTGATTCACCGGTTGCTTTTTAAAAACTTTTTTAAAGCTTCGACTGGTTTTCTTCCAAACGCCAATCAATATAATTCAATTAGTATTAATGTAGTTGACAATAAGTCTCTATTGTTTATCACAAAGTGATTGATCTGTAGCAAAGTTTACAGGCATCAATCAGAATAAATAGCAAGATGTGAAAAAGTGATATATCATAGTTCAGGTGTGACTCATCTTGCGACGTAATTGGGTGGCCGAAATGGACTCTCTGAGACAGAAATTCCCTACTCCCGCAAAAGGCTTACGTCTCACACAGTCGCCATTTTGAGCCACATTGGTTGCAACCTATCTTTCCTTGGTCGCGCAAAGTCGCAACTTATCTTTTCTCGGTCGCGCAAAGTCCCATAAAAATTCTTCGGTCGCGCAAAATCGCAACATGCTCATTTTGAGTCGCAATGATCGCAACATACCCATTTTGAGTCGCAATGGTTGCAACATGAGTCCTCGACTTCGACCGGGGTTTCATAGTTCAGCCATGGATTTGCACGGTTTGTTCTGACAACCCTTAATTTACCTTAAGTTTTTGTTCTGGTCAAACGTATTTTATACCAAAATGCTTTTCTTGGGCTTTCCAGCTCCAAAGCAACATCAATTGTAATGACTTGCAATGTGAGTCTTAACGGCAGTTTTTGGATCCAATAACCTTGGATCAAATCAGGTTGAAATTTTATTTGAGTGACTAAATGTAGTTCAATTGGCCGCACTCAAAAAATTCACACTTACACGCTGAGCGTTTCAAGTAATCTGGGCTCTAGCAAAGAATATGTTGTTTGAATAATCATTTTATTTGTTCCAGCCCATACTATGGCTACCCGATGTTCATGAACAGAACTATGGACCACTTCGGCAGGCAAGTCTCGGTTTCTTTTACGACTCGATTTCTCAAACTACTCCCAATTAGAAAGTCAGTTGCGTGGCTCTGGCAAACAATATGTACTAATTCAGAGCTTAATTCAGCCTCGATTCCAAAAATAATTTCAGTGAGCTTTCTCCAAAAATTTTAAATTCAGTGGATTAGGCAGGATAACTTGAAACTGAAAAGCGTAGCTGCGTTCTTTTTGAGACTGCATTATTGTGCAAAACAAAAAAAACAAAGAAAAAACTCATTATTTTTATCATACATCTGAGTGATTGGTAAGATTGGTGATGTTAGATCTTAGTCACAATTCATATATATTAGTTGATAAAACATTAAGACTAAATAATAAAAAAATTTCTAAACTAAACATTTAAATCCAAAAGCTAGTTCAGGTTAAGATTGATCTTTTAGTTTATAACGTCTTATTTAGGTCAGACCAGTTCAGACGCTGGCTGCACGACGACCATCTGGCAAAGCTAAACGGCAACGAGAGACAGCTGGAATTGCACAGGATCGGAACAGATGAGACATATGTTGATCTGCTTAGGAAGAAGTTCGGCCAGTTCCAGACTAGGAAAGCGAGAAACAATGGGTTCTTCATGCAGTGAACGTCCAAATGACCGAATTGATTAATAAACCGATTGGTCATAGTAATTTAACTGAATGCGAAATCATATATTTCGAATCTAATTCCAAAATCATTCAAATAACAGTTAACCGCTGAAAGAATTGTGAATTATGATAAACTACGAGTCACCTGAAAATAACATCGAGCAATGATACCATAACCAAAAATAATAACCATAATTTGTGTTCGACTATGTTTAGACCATACTTTGTGTTCGACTATGACTCGAAATAGTGCTCGAACATGTTTCGACCATATTTTTGAAATTGGGTTCGAGAGAAAGGGCTGTTTTCGACCACTGATTTAAGTCAAACGGACAAGTCAAACACCTCAACCAGGGAACTGACTCACAAAGTAAATCTCTTCAGATTCGAAGCAAACTCAAAAGACACCTAACTACGACACGCAAAACATCGACCCCTGGATATTTGCACTGTAAATTCAAATTTGAGCACTTTTCTGTCCACACCACAAAAAAAATCAGATCCTAACATTATATACCACGATCAAAAATTCAATCAATCATCAAGATCCGCATACTTCTTAATTGAAAACAAAAATTTAATAAAATTTAAATTGATTAACAAATTGATAAAAATACTTAAGGACTTAAACACGCTAAATATTCTACACAAAGTTCACAAAAACTGCTCATCTTTACTATTGAACATCTCCATCACCACATCAGCCATATCCAGTCCCGCCCCCAGAACAGGCCTGAAGAACAACTCAGTCACCGTTTGGGGGGACATTTCACGCAAGTGGGCCACCAACGACAAGCAATGAGCAGGACGGAGGGGGTCTAGTTGGATAGGACTGAGTCTGGGGGGATCCCCTCCTCTTCCTTTTCCTCCTCCCCCTGCACCTCCGGTGGAAACATTACTGGGACTACTCTGTTGTTGTTGTTGTTGTTGGTAGCTTTGCTGCTGTGTTAGCCTGCAGTGGTCTCTCAGGGCTTGCTCGGCCATAGCTCTGTTGTGGTACACTAGTTGACTGTTTTTCAGTAGAACCAGTTCTGGAAAAAATTAATGCATATATAAAAGACTGCTCGCATCAGGGCTAAACCCTAAATGCTCCGCTCCGACTGCCCTTAAGAGTCGCTGGAAAAGTTGGTTTTCTGAATTCTCTCAAAAGACTATCAGGATCAGTTTCGAAAAAAGGCGAATTGTTGAAAAATTTGGTCAAAAACCAAGCTTTACAAACTTTTGTTTTTATTTCCAAAAAATGGAAAGTTTTTGACGCACAATCCGCCTTTAAACGCAAGCAAGAAAGTGGCAAAGTTTCTAGAGCTTTAAAATGCGAGAAAATACAAACTTTGCATGTAATAAATTGGAAAGTGTACAGCCAACTTTGGATAAATTACGCATTTCAAAAATTTGTCTATATTATGCATTTCAAAGCTGTTGTATGGAACAAATCGCTTTTTTCGCTTCAATTGACAATTTTCGCTTTTTTCCGCTACAAAGCAAATGTCGGATCAACTGTACAATCCGCCCCCCTTCCCCTAAGTGACCTACCTTAGAATGCCCTCCCAAAGCATTTATTAATTCTGAAGATTAATTCTGTATAAAATATGCATTTCATACAAACGCGCAATTACAATTGGTTTAAACATTTTTATGCGGGATTGCATTTGTATGCTATCAATAGCACAAATTAATGTTTTAGTTCTGTTTTCTGTGGTAATACGGTTAATTTTGAACGAATCAAGGCTACACTGAAAGTTTGCTAATGAAAAATTCAAGTCGATTTGGGGAGGGGGGATTGTACGGTTAATCCCAGATGTTAAATTACATGGTAATTTAGTGGCAATGCGGCCTCTTTATTCAAAAACGCCACCAAAAGAGCGCTTTTAATTGCGACTTGGGTTGGAAAAAAATAGCTGCCCTTACAGCTGTTTGAATTTCTAGAACAATTTATGATTTTTTTGACTACATTAACCAAAATTGAGAACACTGGATCAATAGATAAAACTTTCTTTCCGCTGGGAAATCCGAAAAATAAACACCGCTTTCGAAACTAGAAGTCATCACGTTTTTCGTGCCCTTCACACTTTAATGTTCGATAGTGAAGTTTGCCTTCCTTTTGGCACAGGAAATGAAATACACTTAAGAAAATCACAAATGAAACTGCAAAAAAGTAAATTTGAGCCTGAACAAATTTTAAGACTTGTCCAGTTGAAATTAAGAAAAAAATCATCAGCAGCTATATAAAAGTCTGAACTACGTTCATCGACTCTTAAAAGTTTGAACCAATTTTTTCGACACAAATAGTTTTTGATTAATTTTTGAAATCCAAATCACGAACAAAAGGGCTTTCAAAAAGTGCCACACTTGACCCCTGTGAGCTTTCTCTGAGAAACGATATCCAAAAATCGGGAAAAAATGCCCTACGCCATAGTCCCTTCCCACACCTTTAAGGGGGAAGGCTTTGGTCGAAAAAAAAACGACTCGCCCGAGCTCCCAAAACCTCGAAATCGTATGCTAAAATTTTGAAATAACATCTAGTAACTCTGGTAAGAACGAGAGGAAAGCTAAAACAAGACTGCTCGTATCAGGGCGAAGCCCTGAATGTTCCGACTGCCTTTTAAGGTTTATGGAGCAGCAGTAATAGCATTAAAAAAATAAATGAAAAAAAAATAAAATGAATTTTTTTTTTCAAAAAATTGAAGTTTTTTTATAAAAATCATACCCCCACACGCCATATAAAGTACAAAAAGAGAGATTTCGTTCCTTGAAACAAATCAATTATGGCAAATAAGCTTCGTTCAACCAATTTGGAACGATTTATAAGACGGATTAAATCACAGCTTACGCGTTAATAGCGCGAATTATATCGCGCGTTAATTGTCCCAAATTGGTCAAAATGGCCAAAATGGCAATCTTTAAACCCTCATAACTTTACGAAAAATGATCACAGGTGAAATATCTTTTCAAATTTAAGCTCAGGATAACAATACCTTTTGAATGATATTAAAAAATTCCGTCAAAGATGGCTAGTTAAAAAGTCGAAATTTATCTGAAGAAAAAAAAACCCACCCCGAGCACAAATATTCCGTTACTTTCGTATCGAAAGTCGGAACAACAAGATGTTGAGGTAATTTGAGGTATTTTTCTGTCTTTTGGAAAACTTTCTCGGCACAATTGCCAGCAATTCAGATGTCCAGCTACGTACTAAAGTCTGATGACTCCACAAAACTAGAAAACAAAATTGGTAGATAAAATTAAACAAGACTGCTCGTATCAGGGCAAAGCCCTGAAAATTCCGACTGCTTTTTAACGTTTATAACAGTAATAACATAAACAACAGAAATAAATTAAAATGAAAAAAAAAATTTCTTAAATTTGAAAATTTTTCTATGAAAATCATCCCCCCACACGCCATATTTAGTACAAAACAATAGATTTTGCTCCTTGTGACAAATCAATTATGGCAAATAAGCTTCTTTCAACCAATTTGGAACGATTTCTAAGACGGACTAAATCTCCGCTTACGCGTTAATAGCGCGAATTATATCGCGCGTTAATTGTCCCAAATTGGTCAAAATGGCCAAAGTGGCCAAAATGGCAATCTTTAAACCCTCATAACTTTACGAAAAATGATCACAGGTGAAATATATTTTCAAATTTAAGCTCAGGACAACAATAGCTTTCGAATGATATAAAAAATTTCGGTCAAAAATGGCTAGTTAAAAAGTCGAAATTTGTCTGAAGAAAAAAAAAACCCACCCCGAGCACAAAGATTCCGTTACTTTCGTATCGAAAGTCGGAACAATAATCTTATAAATCCCGCTGACCTGGGTTGAAGAGTGCAATGATCTTTAAGTAGAAGTACTCTTCATCAGACAACTTCAGTCCCGCAATCTTGTTCAGCATCGCCTTCACTGTGTTCACACTTTCACAAGTGGGCAGCTGGTTCTTCTCGGCGAATATTCGGGCTAGTTTATTCGCACAAATGGTCTGTTTCCAACATGGTACTGCATTGGGTCTGGAAAAAACTAAGCTTATGAGCTACAACATTAGCATATAAAATTATTTCGATTCATGTTTTCGATAAATGTTTTGTTGCCTCTTTCTATCGAAAATTTTAGAGAGGCAAGACCCACCTATAAATGGCACAAGTCGAAATTAAACGGATGGATTAGGAAAAAAGGCCATGAGCAACCATTTTTCAATATGCTTGAATTTAAAAAAAAATCCATTTTGTTTTGAGTTTTGCAGACCAGTTCATTGAGTTATCAACCAATTAGAGTACAAGTCCCGCCCGCTTGGTTTGCCCAATCCAGAAAAAAAAAATCGGGTTCTTTTTTATCAATGAATCTAATCGCTTAAAACACTTATTTCTCTCTTTTTTCTCAAACCCAAACCCCCCCCCCCCCCCCCCCCCCCCCCCCTAATTAGAACCCCGTGGTATCAGACCTGTTGCAGAAGTTCTTCAGTTCCATCTTGATGTCCAGCTGTTCTTCTGTGATGGCGATGAGGAAGATGGACACCCACGACTGACCAATCAGAAGAGCCCTGTCCTCCCTCAGCAGTCCTTTGAAGGGCAGAAGAGAAGACACAGTCTGAGCACATCGCTGCAGTGTCTCGAAACTGGATCAGAGCAAAACAGCAACAGTATATCACAAATTATTTCAACTCATTCATATTCTCAGAGTTTGCTTCAGAAATCTACTCTATAAAAAATAATTGGAATTCTCGTATCAGGGCCGAGAATTTCTTTTATAATAAATTCAATTTGTGTCAAGTGAGTAGATTTTGGGTAAAATTATAAAGCATTAGAGAAACGTAGTTTCACTTTTGAGTGTTCGCAATACTTTACAAGTATCCTTTGTTGATTGTTTCTAGAATATATTGGTTTTCAAAATCAACCATTTGCCCTAAAATCTTTATTTACCAAAATCGAGAAGTTTCTTCAGGTTGTTTCAATTTGACTATCGTCGGCTCGCAGCAGCATCGACTGCCAGAATGCTCCGCCGACATTGACGAACCCGAACGGAATCCAGTATCATCCGAGTTGAAACTTGTTCCGCTACTCGGACTAGTCCCGAAGTCGGGAGTCGCAGGTGATCCGAAAGACGAACTCTCTCTGAGCGAACTACTTGAAAAATGCGAAATATCCGGAATCGATTTTTCCGATCCTATTTTTGTCTGCTGTTGTTGATGCGAAGTAGAGTCCAAAAGTTTTCCGAGCTCGTTATAATCTGCTTCGTCACGAGACTTCATAAATTGCATCTTATTAGTTGGACCGTTGTGCAGGTTTTGTACTAATTTGTTCACGTTTGAAGAGTGCACTGGAACAGATGCGCATATTTTTTTGGCTTCGGGTGGGTTGATTTCGTCTGATTGACTATGAGGTTGACTCGGGGTTTGTTCGGATTCTGCGGGCAGAACTGAGACATCAGCAGACGTGAGGCCGAAATTGAAACCGGCGAAGTTTGGCGAGCTGGGCATTGACAAGGGTTCGTCGTTGAGCTGAATTTGATTTTGAACAAAGTTTAAAAAAAACATATTTTAAGCTACATAGCAATTGCGGAAACGTACATCTACACAATTGATTATAAAAACGATGAAAAAACAATAGTTCAAGTTCAGCATAAGGTGGCCCCCAGGGAGCGGAAAAGTAACCTTAGGGTCGTGAAAATTAATTTAAATTCCGACCACTGAAAATGAAAATGAGCTTAGTCTTTGAGAGTGTTTAGTTGTTCCGACCAATGACATTCGGGAGAAACTTAATTCGAACGAAATTGCAAGTCTTCCAAAAAAATTGTCCGTGTATGAAGTTTTTGGTAATTTCGAGCGATTAAGTTACAAAAAAGTGGGGAGGATATTTTTTTCAGGAGTATTTCAATTTTTTGTTGGATGAGGAATCACATATAATAATCAGAGAAGGCCAATAAAAACATATTGATGTTCTTTCAGTTGTGTTTTGAGACATTACATTATTCGAAAACATCACATAAAAACTAGAACCAGTTTGAAATTTTTCGTGTGTAGTCTCATTTCGATTTAGTACAGTTATCGTGTTGCGTTATATGAACATCGGAACTTTATGCTGAGTAAAACTTAGTTTGACCAAAAAATGGTTATTGGAGCTTCAACTAGCGCTTATCTGGTACTGTGCAAAAAAAATGTAATAAAATTAATGTGAAAACTGAAAAAGCTTAATGTTTAAACACTTAATTTTGAAAGACAACTGTAATCAACAAGGCCAAGAAAAACTTGTGAACTTTGCTTTAGGTTTTATTTCTACAACACTTACAAAAAATGCCTAAATTTGAAAGAGGGAAAATCAGAAACGGTCGAATCATGCAGCATATTGAAACCCTTTCAGTCTTTATTCCAACGACGTCAGAAAACACTTGAGTCTTAATGGTTTTTTTATCTTTGTAAAGCGTTGTGCTTTTTACTCTAACTTAGAGCGTGTAAAGGTTGTTATACGAGTGCGATTAATTAGGCTGATTCAGAAGCTGATTTAGGAGACGGGGAGAGAGCGGACGCTTTCCCCTCAGGGAATTGACTCTCTCAACAAACAAAGGGTCCCCCTCTGGTATTTTTTATGACATCCATTTTAGACTGACCAAACCTAAAATTTTTCTAGAGGCCAATATATACTAACTTTGAAGGGGAGCGCGCGCCGAAAACACGCAATCTTTCGGTCAAAAATCCAAAAAGTGCCCAAAACCGGCTTTTTTAAAGTTTTTTTTTAATTTGCCTGCGGGGCAAATTTTTGATCAAAATAGGGTCTTCACAGTGTTCTGGGAGTGCTCAGAAAATCAATTTGGCCGACCTAAAAAAATGTCAACAAGGTTTTCGAAAAAAAATTTTGAAAATACCACTCCTCGAGAAAATTTTAGATCCGCCCCTGAGCTGACTGTTTATGATTCGTGGATGTTAATGAGTTCTCCTACCATACCGCAACGGCATCCATTTTTGGGTGACCAATGGTTGACAATCTTATGGTCGAAATTTTTGTCGACCTTTTTTTTAGGTTGACCAAATTGATTTTTCGAGCTCTTCCAAAGCACTGTTTTTGCCAAATTTTCTGTACCGCAGGCAAGTTTTGGAAGAACAGGCCAAAAAGGCGTTTTTGGGCACTTTTTGAAAAATTTTGACAAAAAAATCGCGTTTTGTTGGCGCGTGCTCCCCCTCAAAATTAGCATATATCGGCGCCAAAGGCGCCTTTAGAAAAATTTTAGGGTCGGTCGGCCAAATATGGATTTCTTAAAAAGTACCAAAGGGGGGACCCTTTGGGTCGGGAGGGGGTCGAATCCCTGAGGAAAAGGGGCGTCCGCCCCCCCCCTAAATCCGCCCCTGGCTGAGGTATTTGCACTATTTGGAATAGCTGAGGTATTTGCACAGCAACCGTCTAAAAACTTTTTGAAACTCTTCTTGGAAATTTTCTTTGATTTTGTTTTAAAAATTTTAGTCCCATTTTTATTATTATAGGCGCTAAAATAAAATGGAGTAATACTAAATTTTCATAAGAAAACTACTGGAGTATTACTAAATTTTCATGGCTGGACTTATAAGCCTACTATTATAAGCCTGCTCCCTCTATTAGCTCGCAATTAGACTAGAAAAAAAATTGAAACCAGTTTTTCTCTAGAAATTATTTATTGTCGTTCGAATCACGACTGAAAGTGCTTTAAAATGATTTATTACTCGCCTCCATCCTATATATTACTTGAGATACCTGATTTTGCGGTGGAAAAAATTTGAAATAAAACTGAAACAACCAAAACTACGTTCTTCTGCATTTCCAGAAGTCGGAATAAAAATTTCTGCCTCTTGTTCATTATAATAATCTGACAGTTGTCCAGTTTGTGAGTCAATTTTTTTACCAAGCATGAGAAACCACGCTGATTTGGGTATTTCTTAGGACAATTGGAAACTGATATTTCGCAGTAAAACAACTGACGTCTGCGAATTGGAAATTCAGTCTTCGATTTTTTCCCAAAATTTCATTAAGCACACGTCACTTATTTTGTAAAAGTTTGAGTCGAAAATGTTTTACAAAGGTATAAATTTTTAAAAACTTTTTTCGCTCCCTGGTTCACAAGTTAGACAATTTTATGAAAAAGAGAAACTCTTCAAACCCTTTAATTTATCTGCACGTAAAAGACAGAACGGGTCAAATCTTCAATTTTTTAAGCAGCAATAAAGTAGTTGGTGAACGTATATCTGACATTTTAATCATCATTTAAGTTTCACACGTCCATTCGACCAAAACTGGCCACGTTTCAACAGACTCGGGTAATCAAATCACGTGACTTTTTCTGAAATATATATTTGAATTCTAGGACCATAAAAAGTCTGACCTACTTGAACAAAAAGAGACTTACCAACGAATGGAGAACTGAGAAGCATCCAGTCTCAAGGTCAGATCCAGAACCACCATCTCCGAACTCATCCAGATAGTCCAACAAGTTAGGCATGTCATCATCCTCATCATTCAAACCCCCACCCAGGCCCAGCCCATCGCTCCCAGAGGGGTCCAAGGTACCCCCCTGGTGCAAGGGACTAGTGAGATCGTTAAAACTTGATCCCATTGCTTTTTAGAGTTTTTTGAAAAGTACTGAGTTATTTCAGAAAATAGTTTTCTTTCACTTAAAAAACTTAAGAATAAGCACTTAAAACAGTGCTAATAATTAAATTTTATTCGCGAAAAAATGATTATCAATTTTTTGGCGTAAAAAGCGGACCGATTTTATGGATAAACTTGATGTGAGAGATAAATTGTTATAAAATGGATATTGACAGACAAAATTTTAATCGAATTTAGTAAGGCATACGTGTTACGTAATTTAAGTACTAGATTATGTAATGCCTTTGTATTTGACCAATGGTGTCTTAGCATTTGTACATTACTCCGTACAATTCGCTCAACAAAAATGGTTGTATTACGTAATTACTCACAGACACGCGCGTATATAATGTATAGTGACGTAATACTTTATGGGACTGTCTGTCATTTGAATTGCTCATAAGTCAGCATAAAACCAATCTATTGAGTTCGAGAAAAGGGTTTTTCCTGGTACTCAGATTGCAATGATTCAATTGGCTTTGAGCGTACTTTAAAATGCGAAAGTTTTGCTGCGATAAAATACTCGTGTAATTACACTATTAACGACAAAACGAAAAATTTGCAATAAAAAAATAAAGGGTTATTATTTCTATTTTTGGATCTACTTAACAATCTCCCCGCTATGGTACCCTTTTAAGAATCTCCACCCCTATAAGTAAATACAGTAAGGTAGCTCTGAGCTTTCTATTGAGAATTATAATTTTGCTACATTCTGATTGGTCGAAAAATCGACCATTTTGATCTACTTACAATTTCCCCCTTTCTTGAAAGGGTAGGAGATTGTTAACTAGATCCCTATTTTTCTATGAATAGGCAGTCTTATATGATTTTTGGTATGCCAGAAATAACAAGTCGTTCTCCAGTGCATTGATTCTACCAGTGTTTTAGCAATAAAGATACTAAAACTTCAGGAAGTCTTTTCTGACTCTCTACTTAAGCCAAAACAATTCAGATAAACAGTTTTTAAAATAAAACTCATCTACAAACAAATATTCAATTAGAAGTCTACAACAAACTAGAAACTCAGTCCCAAACTAGTTCTTGTCGTGTGTCCATGATGATCCACAGCTCGGTAGTGGATGTCTGAAGGCTGGAACCCAAGAGGAACCAGCACTCTCGCATACTGCAGCGCCTATGAAAGAAAGAAATTTACTTCTCTGATTCAAACAAATACATATCAGAATTTTATACATTTACAAAATCATTGACCAGATCAAAATCATATCAAATATGTTTAAATCAAGTCTTTTTGAAAATCATCTCAACAAAAATTATTGCAAATCAAAGTCTTTTGACGTCATTTCCAAAATGAATGAAATCAAGTCACAAGTGGAAAAAACATTTGTCAAATTCAGGGTCGGATCAAGGATTTTCTCGAGGGGGGGGGGGGGGGGGGGGGAGGATTTTTAAAAAAATGAAATTTTGTCCGCCTTTTTTTTAGATTGACCAAATTGATTTTCCGAGCCTTCCCAAAGCCTTAAAAAGACCCTATTTTTGCCAAATTTTCTGCCCTGCTGACAAAAATTTGAAAAAAAATCAGGCCAGAAAAATCAGGCCGTTTTCTTGGCGCGCGCTTCCCTAAAAAATTAGTATATATTGGAGCCCAAGGACCTGTCACCAAAAATGGATATCTCAAAAGAGTACAAAGGGAGACCCTTTGGATCGGCAGGTGGAGGTGGTTGAATCCCAGTAAGGGGGGGGGGGAGTCCGCCATACGCCGCCCCCCTTAAATACGCCCCTGGTCAAATTAGAATCAACCATTTAAGAGCTGACAAGTGAAGTGCCTATGATTTCAGTAAGAAGTATGGTATAGCTGACACCTAAAGTCCTTTGTTTGACTTGACGCTTAAGTAAATTATTCACATTTTTAAATTGAGACGATTTATCCACAATGGAAAGGATTAAGATACAAGCTGTTCAGCTATTCACGGAGAACAATTTTTGTGCCCCTGGTTAAGAATTTCATGCAATTTTTTGGTCATTTTTCACAAATTAGTTATTTCACACATTAGTTATACCTTTCTTCTTCTGCGCATGCGCTTTGGCGCTGAAAAACTAATGAAGAGGAAATAAGCGCATGCCGAAAGAAAGTTTTGTCATTCAGTTTTGTCTTCAGATCCATACCTACAAAAATTCAAGCCAGAGGCGAATCTTTTGAACTGTGTACCTTACAAATAATTCTTCAATTTAAAAAAAAAATTTCATACCAGTGTTTTAGCAATAACAGTACAATAATCTAACAGTACAATAAATTCCCTTGTCACCTGGTTTCTATTGTTTGCGTATATCTGAATTGGAGGTTGTCGAGAGGGAGGAGTGACAGTGTGCACATACTGGTTGAACATGTTGGACCCCGTCAGGAACGAGGACTCCTCCGAGGACCGCAGACTGCTGGGGTTCCGACACAGGAATGATTCACAGTCCAGTTCCAACATGTCATGTTTACACACTGCCAATTAAAAATCTTTTTTCTTTCAGATTCTCATCATTAAAGGTTATATAAGTTGTCAACGATAGTAAGAAAAGCCGTCTTTTTTAAAAGCAGCACAGAAAACTTCAATGACACTATCATTGCTTAATTATTTGAGAAAAAAAATCCCTCATTTTATCGATGAGATCATCTGTCAACGAGATAAAGATTCATGCTTATGCATAACTATTTGGTTGTGTCTTGCACAGTAATGGTAATTGCAAAAAATCGGCAAACAAAAGGAAACAGTCCTCTGAACATCTTTAATTAAGCGTTTACTGAGAGACTTCCAGAAAACTCATCTTCAAAGAAGTCTGAAACATAATGGAATGCACAAATAAACAGCGCATATGCAGGAAAAAGAGGTAATTGAAAGCGTTAACTGAAACATTACTTATAAGTCGATACTATTGAGTTAGGACCGATGTGGTTAACTCATAGAGTAATTTCGGATAGGGTACACCGTCTGCTCGTCACTGGCCTCACTGGTCGCACCAGATGAGTTAGGACCGATGTGGTTAACTCATAGAGTAATTTCGGATAGGGTACACCGTCTGCTCGTCACGCTATCTTATTTTCGGCCGGATAGATTCGTGCAACTTCTTCGTCTAATACCGATCCTAATCTTACTCTTATACTATCTAGTCTCAGGTTGTTTGACTAGTCTCTGCTAGGCTCAATAGATCTAGGGTATACTGGTTTATTGTGGCTGCTGAAGTTCCTTTGGAGAGGCAACTAATTTCTAAGTTAAATTCAAATCTCTCTGGTGCTGAAATTACAAGTAATTTCAGCACTTACAAATAAGTGGGTTGTTAGTTAGATGGATCATGATTGGTTAATATTAAATATTTTACAGTGGTAAAATATCTAATTTATCCAATCATAAAATGTAGTTTAGATCAGGTTCCACTATTCATCGTACAAAAAAAACGAATTATACTGAACTGTACAAATTAGCAGCACAAATGCAAGATAAAAAAAGATAATTGAGATAATTTTCCAGCGCAATAATCAACTTGTGTAACCTGCGTTGAACTTTGTGCGACACAGAGGACACTTGGTCTTTCTCCTCACCACCCACTGGGATATACATCCCCCACAGAAACAGTGGAGACAGGGTAGGAGACACACTGGGGCCAGGAACACCTCACTGCAGATGGAACAGGTCAACTCACTCTCCTAAACATTTAAAACAGATTTGCATAAATGTAGAGGAACAGATTGGTCAGAATGCTCCCAGCCGATGTATAAACGGGCCAAACAAAAGCCGACAAGATAATTTAACCAGTCGAGATTGGGATCATCGTTGAACTCGGCAGCTTATTAGAAACTTGTTGCATAAACGATGTTAGTTACATCATTATTACGTCACTGCTGACATGTTTAGCTGGAATATAATGGATCTTCCGAACACTAATCAGTCTTATCTTTTCATTATACACTCGCCAAAAAAATTGAAGCGGGCAGAATTTCAAATTATTTTGTTCTGGAAAACTTTTTCAATCCTACTAGGGATCCAGCTAAAGCAGTTTGATAATGTGTTTAAGGAAACGTACCGATGCAAAAGGCATTGCGTAATTTTCAAAATGTGTCGAAATGTCAAAAATTGGATATTTCCCAAGTCCATGATTGATTGCCGCTCAAAAGTTCGGAGAAAACGCTTGTGCAGATATAATAGAAACATCTCCGTTCGATTTAATTTAGTTTCATAATTTCAGAAATTGCATGGTCGTTTTTGGAACAATGAACGAAGCCCAAGAAAATTGTCAAAATGTAAAATGGTGGACATTTCTCAAATTAAAAAAGTGGATGCATTTCTAAGTGAAATATTCCCAGTGCATATTAGTTTCATTGAACCCTTAATCTCAGATTTGGCATAGTAATTTTTGAGAGAGGCCAAAAAGTTTCTTAAAAATTGGCAAAATTGCAAAAATTGGACATTTTCTATGGTCATTACTTTTTTAAGGAAGTTCAAAAATGGGTTAAGGTGACATTTGTCAAGATCACAGTAGATTTAAAAAAAAATGGGAATCCGCTTATGTAAGGGATGTTCCTACAAATTGTTCTTTCGATTTAACCCTTAGCCTCAAATTTGTGACCGTCGTTTCGGCGAAAACCAAAAAATGGTCAACATTTCAACACATTGACCTTTTCTAGGCCAAGTAATGCTTTCCCACCAAAATTAGGGCGCAGCTCCTATGCAGAGAAAATGTCCAGCAGATTTTTGCGTTGAACCCTTTATCTTAAAATTTAACAAAATTAGACATTTTCTAAGACCATAACAAATTTTTTTTCTCAAAAATTAGGGACAAATTCCTCGCACAGAGAAAACGCGCAAAAATTGTTCTTTTGATTGAACTCTTAATCTCAGACTTGGTTGGGTATGTCAAAAAAAATAGGGCGTAGCCGCTTTTTCATAGAAGATTCGCAAAATTTTATCTTTCGATTAAACCCGTTACCTCAGATTTGGCAAGGTAGTTTTCGAAAAAAGTGAGAAAAGTTCCGAAACAATTAAAAATTTGGAAATTTTCTCCTGCCAAACTTTTTTCTGAAACAAGTATAGCGGCGTATTCCATAACATGTTCTTTCAATTACAATCTTAATCTCAGATTTGTCATCGTACTTTTCACAAAAACGTGGACATACTTTAAGGCAATAACTTTTTTCCACAAACTTAAGCCGTTGCGGCTTATGCAAATGAGATATCCATTACATGCTCATTTAATTCAACGCTTAATTGCACATTCAGCAGGGTAATTTAAAAAAAAGGGTTAAAAAAAACCCACAAATCTTTCGAAAGCTGTACATTACGAAGCCTAGGTGTGTTATTTTTGCATAGCTCTATTTTGAGTTTTCACGAACACGAATACCGTGCGCATGCTTTTTTATGTCGTTTTTCAAATGCCTGTTGCAAAATCCGTGACTAAAAGTCGGTAATTGTGGCATGCTGTTTCAATACTATGATGTCACGGAATCCCAACCTACGTTTTGCGACGCGTTCTGCCGATTTTACCGAAAACTTTAAAGAGTTTGCGCAACGAATTCGCGGTGGAATTTAGCGGAGTCAATCCTGCATATCCTCAAACTACACGATTAATAGGTTGAAAAAATCGAAATCATAATATTACTGTTGACCTGTTCGATACAAATCTCTAGCCCCGACGCTCGCTACGGGCTCATTAAATTAGGTCTTACGACGAAGAACTATGCCAACAAACTTTAAACCGACGACCAAAAAAATTAATTTTGGTAATTTTATCTGAAAACAATCAAAAAAGTTAAAATAAATTCTAAAAAAAATTAAATGTGAAGGGTAGTACTAAACAAATAAAAACCAGAGAACAACTCTAATGAACCACACTATTCATAAGCGAACATCACGGAATCAGTATCTGTTCAACCGAGGATTTAGTTCTACAATGATTAACATTTGGTCACTGAACCTGCAAACACAGACAATTTATGGTCAGGGATTCCGCAGTTTTAGCGGCTACTATGTTTTATTACTCTGGTGATGTAAAACGCAACACATAAGGAATTAGCTTGTTACGGATTCCGTGACACCAAATTCAAATATCCAAAACTACCGAGCCCACAAAATCCCAAATGACGCACCCAGGCCTTCTATTGAGAACGTTGGATAAGGTGAAAAAATAGTAGCGGAATATGTAAGCACACCGGTGAGTATCTGGTTTTTTGATTGATACCAGTTGTTCGAAAACCGGTAGAGAAGTTGTCATTAAAAACTTAAATTTTCCTCAGTGCCTAAAAAAAACCAAATACCATACATTTTTGTTACTATACTTTATAACTGTTTTTATCAAAGAGAAATGAGTCTATGGCGATACAATTATTCACATTCAAAGTATTTTTTAAAGGACTCAAAATATTCTGTAGAAACAATAAGTGCATGTTTTCTTCTTTGGTTCGGATAAAAAAATTAATTGCCTCAAAAAACTGCAAACTATCAAACACAGAAACTTGTTGAAAGCCATATGCCACAAGGCCATTTGCCGAACATGTTGTTGAACTATATAGAGAAAACCATAAATCCAAAGATAGTAAAGTTTCTAAGAAAGGAAAATACAACTAAATTAGTTGACTACTAACATAACAATCCAGTCGCCGAAAAACACCAAGAGCTTCATCATATTCTTTTTTATTCCGACTTTCGATACGATAATAACGGAATATTTGTGCTCGGGTGGGTGTTTTTTCTTCCGAAAAATTTCGACTTTATAACTAACCATTTTTGACGGGATTTTTTATATCATTCAAAAGGTATTGTTATCTTGAGCTTAATTTTGAGAAGATATTCTACCTGTGATCATTTTTCGTAAAGTTATGGCGGTTTAAAGATTGCAAATTTTGGTCAATTTGGGACAATTATCGCGCGATATACTTCGCGCTATTAACGCGTAAGCGGAAATTTAATTTATTTTAGAAATCGTTCCAAATTGGTTGAAAGAAACTTATTTGCCATAATTGATTTGCTAAAAGGAGCGAAACTCATCCTTTTGTTCTTTATATGGCGTGTGGGGAGATGCTTTTCACAAAAAATCTCAAATTTTAGAAAAAAAATCATTTTATATTCGTACATGTAATTTTTTATGTTATAATTGCTACATTAACCTAAAAAGGCAGTCGGAACATTGAGGGCTTTGCCTTGAATGTTTATATGGCGTTTGGGGGTGATGATTTTTACAAAAAGTGGCGTGTGGGGTGATGATTTTATATGGCTTGTGGGGGATGATTTTCACAAAAAAATCTCAAATTAATTTTATTTAATTAAATTTAATTTTCATAATGTTATTACTGCTCCATAAACCTTAAAAGGCAGTCGGAACATTCAGGTATTCGCCCCGAAACGAGCAGTTTTGTTTGCTTTCCAATTCTATCTGAATTGAAAGCTAGGATGGAAAATTTTCCATCGTATTCTACAGCGAACATAACTTTTCTTGCTGTTTCTGTTACAGATCTAGCGTTTGCAGATCATCTGTGAAATTCATGAAAACCTTATTAAATGAGTGCTTGATATCTGAATCATAAAAGTTTTCGCAATGTCTGATTATGTAATATAAGATTGTTTTTAATATCCTCTTAAGATAGGTTTTTTTAAATTGTTTTATTGTCCTCTTACGATTGTTTCAGGACCGTTTAAGTTAGGATTGTTTTAACGGGGTGCCGGACATCAAGCCGACGGGACTTCAAGCCGAATCGTAAATTAGGGAATTCAAGCCAAATTTTTTTTATAAAGTTGTAAAATATGATTAATTTGTAAATTTTATTGAAGAATTTCTGAATTTCGTTATCTTTCTTCACTAATTATTGGCGTTTTCATAAAATTTAAGCCTACAACTGATGTTTAGGAAAGATGAAAAAAACACGATTGATGGCGCTTTTTCATGCTTATAATGTATGCATTTCAAAAACTGGCTGATGTTATTAACGGATGCCAATACCAAGTGGTGCATTGTCATAAATAACGCTTTTTATGGATTAAACTTGCCTAAAATTTTGATAAGCAACGTTTTACCGATGAAAAATAGTGTTTTGAAGTGATTGTAAAGTTCAAATTTTGGCCTGAAGTCCCTTCGGCTTGAGGTCCCGTCGGCCTGTTGTCCTAGACCCGTTTTAATGTCCTCTGAAACGCTATGTAAACTACGAAATCATATGTTTCTCGTGCAGTAACACATTCATAAAACCAAATAGCTAGCCTCAATTCATTTTTTGGCCCGGATCATTTCGCTGACTACAGTACGCGTTACTAGAAAACTGGTAAATGGCGCAAAAAAACATTAATCAAAATTGATAATTTATTAAAACCCTTAATATTGCGAAAAGGATAACAGGTAAAGTGACTTTTTTTCGAGATTAGGATATCAATATCTTTTGGATGGGAGGAAAACTAAAACAGCGGAATTAATATCATCGCTAACGATTGGAAATTACCACTGAACTACATGCACATATTGAAGAACTTAGGCAAAGAAACGGTTCGACTTATGTTACAGAAATAAGAACTCATGGTATTTCAAAAGGGTTTGTAAACTGTCACTAGAAATCGCGACACAAATTTTTTCTTGCACCCGTGTTTTTCATCTCAAAGTAACTAGTTTATTCACAATTTACACAGAGGCGAAGCAAAGTTTGCACTACAATAAATACTTAGCAGGATAAACAGAGCAACAGAAAGCTGAGATGAAAAGCCGGACAAAAATCTTTCAAAAACTTTTAATTTGAAAAACATCGAAAAGACTGATCTTCCAAAAACTTTTCAAAGATTTGTCTTGGATTTTGTCGTGAATCAAAAACTCTTTCAACAAAAAATATCACAAAGGAAGACAATTGATTATTAAATTAGCATCGAAACAAAACTTGCAAAGTGGTAACACAGCCGACAATTCTTGAGCAGACTGAGTCGATTTTTTTAAAAAGAGGCCGCTAAGCCGATATATTAGCAGCCGATACCTTTTAGACCAAATAAAGTGAGAAAAAGCAAAAAAAAATGATATACTGAAATTGGAGTAGGTATATTGATAAGCAACATTTAAAAAATTTCGAAAAGAAC